ACTTGTAACATCCCAAAATTTCAAATACTTAAATATATCATAATGAGTATCCCAAGATCAAACACTTACATTGCAACGGAAATAAAATTTTTAATCTTACAAATTATATCACCATCTAAATTACAATATTGAGGAGCATAACTTTGTTCTATATAACAATGTCTTGATCTGCACATATCCTTCTTTGAAGTTAATTCTTATCTCTCTTTATTGCACTTTTCTTTCCACTCAAAAGCCGCCTGGGTGAAAAAGTTTTAAAAGAGTTTTGGGTGAGCCTTAGGCCCAGTGAATCCACGGTTTTCATGCATGAACAACAACTTTTACGATAAACAATTTTCACAAAGCTTCATAAATTAGCATGCCTTGATGAGAATAATATTTTTCACAAAATAAAGATATTATAGTGCGTGTCTACATCACAAAGCAACAGCGTCATGGGAGATGTCTACCTCACACAGCATAACCTGGCGAACTCACACAGCATGTCCGCACTTACGGCTTAGACAAGCTCACAAAGCATGCTCGTCTTTACAAAATCATACCGTAGTACATCCCTATTGACACACAAGTACTCAAAACACATATTATAAAAATATCGAATTTTTCACGCATATATAGCATATCAAAAATCTTGAGAAACTTCACACAACTTGTGGGTAATAAGGCATGCAACTATTTTAAAAATAAATCACGTGTAACTCACAATACAATTCGTAGTCCAAACCGTTCTCTGAAGAGGCTAGCGTCTCTCGGTTGGCGTCGAACTATATGTGATGTACAACACCGTCGACTCTCATTACAACGTCCACCGTCGCCTTTTCTCATAATAGTTCCCCTTCTTGACCACAAAATTCACATAAAGCTACAAACTCTCATTTTATAGTAAGTCATCGACGATTTCACGGAATATGAAACGATAAGCCAAGATTAATGACCGTCGGTTTCACGGAATATGAAACGATAAGCTAAAATCAATGACCGTCGTTTTCATGACCATTGGGTTTCCTGCCATTAAATTACATTAAATTTTAGGGTCTAAACCCTTCACTTTGATTGCATTTACACTATAAGTCCTTSAATTTTAACGACTACCAATTCATTTCTTTTTTTTTTGTTATTACAAGCCCTCATTTGGAGAACTCAGATATTGAAATAGGAGCAGTTTTCCCCCATTCCCCTAACATTCTATTTGATATGCACATAGAGTTTATGGTATCACATGTTGTGTCCCAACAAGAACCACTATTTGAGTCTTCTATAGCACATGTGAGTCATGTTGCTTCTTTTGACACTATTTGCATAGGTTTGAGTGACCTCAATATACATGTTAGTCCTGCTACAATAGTCATAGGTGTCTTCAGTGAAGACATTCAATGAACGACTGAAGTCCTTGTGGAGTGACCATCTTTAAAGCCCTATACACAGATGAATTTGTTGCATCTGTAGGCCCACCAGAGATTTCAAGTGTGATACCAGGTGCATTTTTTGCATCTGGGTTACCTTCAACTATTGTAATAAAAGCTTAATTTAAGGATTTTGGGGACTACTGTAAGGGTGAATTTGTAAAGATTTACCAAACATTATTTTTAATTGACGGCTACTTACACCACTCAAAATTCAATTCCTCAAAGTTTAGACTTGACAAAAACTGAACTATTCCAAGTTTTTTCAGAAAAGCTTGATGCAATATGTGAAGGAGCAGAAAAACATATTGATATGTTGTATGAGAAAATGAAGTGCTTAGAGAAAACTCAAAATTAAACTTCTACTCATCTTAGTCAGATTCAAAGTTCAATAGCCAACCAACCACCATCTATAAAAGTCCTTAAAGCCTCAGACTTCAGTTAGTTCAAATATGTGATACTTGATTCCTTCAAAAGTTTGAGTGCTGATTTGACAAGGTTTCAAAAACAATCAATGTTCCCTTCAGTCCCTACTTCTATATCAGACTTTGATGTTAACCTAATTCCTGACATGCCTAAATGTTATTTCTTTCAACCACCTAGGCTTGACAGATATGTTTTAAAGTAGATTTTGATGAGGTCAAAGACAAAGTGATTGATCTCAAGGATGAAATCAAGGAGTTGAAATCTAATCTTTTTAAGTATCATGCTGATATATGCAAATCCGAAATAAGAAGGAATAAAGAGAAAATCTGATGATTAGAATGATCATGACCACCAAAAGGAGGAGAATAGTAAGAGGTAAAAAACTGATGTTGAAAGTGTAAATGCAAGTGATGTAACTAAATCTAATGATACAGATATACTAGCTGATTATGAGCATCAAGCTACAGATGTGATGGATGATGATTCTAATGATACAGAAATCAAAGATGTTGATGGTGAGAAAGAAGAAACTATTGATTGTGGTCATTCTAATGAAATGCAATCCAAGGTTGAAATGCAAGTTGATGAGTTTGAAAGGGTGTATGAATGTACAAAATTTGATGAGTTTGAGCATGTAAATAAGTGTACAGATATTGTTTTGCATAGACTAGAGATTGAATTTCCTTTGACGTCTGATTTGTTGAAAAAGATGTTACATCGGAAAGTTATGTTTGTTGAGAAATTTGTGCCAATGATTGAGAAGATAGTTATTGAAAGAGTTTGTGATTATCCTATCATTATTCAAAAAGGTTTGATAAAAGATATGGAAGAACCCTTGGTATATCATATCATATCACATATATGAAGGAGTTGTTTGAACAACCAAGAAAACTTATCATTGTAGATGTTTTTCCTAAAGAGACCTACAATGAGTTGTATTTGGAAGGGGGTGAAAACAAGGTCGTTTTGTTAGAAAGTGTTATTGATGGATCATGGCCAGCATACAATCAAATTTTCTACTCAAAATTTTTGATTCAATTCAATCAGAATGAAGAGAGGCTACATGGTTGGACCTCTATTAAGAGAATTAACGGTTATGAACAAAAAATCTCGCTTTAGTAGAATATATAGCTGTTAAGTATGGTTAGAGAAGATGGGATAATTTGTTTGATAACTAATGCTGACTTGTATAGACTTGAGGTTGGAAGAACCCTACCCATAAGATGAGCCATTGGACGTGGCTTTTGATTTTTAGATAGAGACGAACTCGGCTGGCGTGAACCGGCTTGGAATCAAAGATGATACAGGGGTTGTAACAAAGGCTATGGTAGAAGTTGAACCGTCTTGGAACCGAGGATGATTGGTGTGTCCTAGACGATTGCAATGCTTGTAGAATGAGCGTTGGAGGATTGTGGAGAAGCTAAACAAGTATGGAGAGCCCTATATTTAACAATGGGATAGAAGAAGTATTGATTTCTTATTGTTTTTCTTGTTGATGAAGTAGGGAATAGATACGGTTGATGGAGAGAAAAGGATCCATAAGGAGTAAATGACTGCATATGCATATGGTGGAGAAACGATCTTGAATGCCTTGGAGGAATTCCATTGCTGCATGGTCTTTGGTTTAGTTTAAAACTATTTTAGATAACTAAGAATGTTACGGTCAAACTTATACATACCTTGATGAGAATCGTAAATATTTTAGGGAATATGGGAACAAACTATTCATGATAATTAATATTGTTATTAATATTTTTGGGTTATTCATCATAATACATCATGATGAATAATATCTAAAAATATTTTAGAGTTATTCATTATGAATAATTGATTTAACACATCTGGACCTATCTATCGAGTGGCTCATAGGATAGAAACTACTTGCCAACAATGAGTTTGGCTCTTGCTTGACCTTCGCTGATTTGGAATTGATCACCCAAACCAAAATGAGCCATTAACAACCAAACGATCGTAATCAGCTCGCCACCTCTGCTCACTTGAGCTGCTTGAGTGTTGGCTCGAGAATGAATCGCACCATAACTCAATAACTCCACCCATACTTTGCTTATAATCAACCATTTATTCAATTTTTTGTCTTTACCTTCTATCTCCATCAACGTTTTGGCCAAAATGCAACCATCAAATAGCAACGATTTACTCTGGTCACCCTTCACCGTTACCGGTGGCACGTCCGTAGATACGCCAAGAATCTCTATACAAGCGTTTATTTGTTCCAAATCCATTCCGTCAACTGTGGTCGGTGGAGTTGCTTTCTGCTCTTCTTCACGTCGTTTTACACTCTCGAAAAGATTTTTGGCCTCCGCACAGGTGTCCCGGAACCGTATTTGGCCGATTCCAGCGATCGCCGACATCATGTTTGGTTGCATGATAAGAAGGTAGAACATGTAATCTGATAAGAGTTTTGCATTTTCTCGATGTTTCTGGTTGGCGGTGGTGATGCTTATGCCCCGATGGAGTTCATCATTGTAGCATAACTCAGTGGCGATGTGCCATAGAAGGAGGCTTTGATCGTAGTCGACATCGATCACATATCGCAATAAGCTGCTCCAACCATCTTCGACTCGAAGTACCCAATCGCCTCGGGCTGAGCTTATTTCTTTTGCAGTTTCCAAATCATCTGCGAGTTCTGATTTCAATTTTAACTCTTCGAAGATAAAATCACGAACGTCGATGGTGAACTTCCTGGGCTTCACATATTTGATGCTATCAAGAAAGCCACTGATTCCTAGCTTTTCGTATACTAATTGTTGTAAGTATGACCGTGGGTGCAAGCAATAATAGATAAGATTGTAAGTCGAAATTGATTCGGACCACCTCCGTTTCAAAACTTGAATTGTCCATTTACGTGTTTGGGGCTCACTAGTTTTCCGACGGGCGTTGTCTTTTGGGTCTCGAAGTGTGCCTTCAGTCATGAACCGAAGAACCAAAGTGATGAATCGTGTCTTGATCGACTTATCAAGCTCGCCATCGGGAGATTTTCGAAGAAAAATGATGGTCCAATCAGAAAATATGAGCATGATCAAAGCGGTTATATCCAACACCAATGCACCAAATAGCAATCCGTAAGTAATTGTAACATCGACTGCGCTAAAATTCGATTTGTTCTTGAATATGAATAAAACAATTGCCGAACAAACCGTCGCCAACGAGAAAAACCGGCTCAGGGTGCCAAAATAACCGTAAACAACAGGAAGCTTGGTGAAGAGAACTTCATAAATGAAATTCAACTCAACCTCGACCACCTTGAAAGCATCTTTCGCGGTCCGATTTAAGAAGAAATCCCGACTCTGATTTCGTTCCCTTCGACTAAAAATCATATCGACAACGAGCCCTTTAAAATTTTCAAAGAATGCATGAGCATACTGCACAATCTCTAACTCCGTCAAGTTCCCTTTTTTCGCCTTGTTTGCTGATTTGGCCGCTCGATCTGGCTCCCGGATCATTTCGATTCTTGTTGGTAGTTTTGCTTCTTTCTTCGAAAAGTATTCACCCATGAGTTTCGCATAGTTTGGGCCTGCATCAGGGGCTCTAAGCATTGAATCTTTGAATCTATCGGCACTCGCAAGATAAAGCGATCGAGTTCTCTCGGCATATTTCATGATTCCAGTAATAAACATCAACATTGTTGGAACCCATAACCGGTTTCGAGGCAACGACTGAACGAACACGTAAACCGCGGCTAAACACTGGAACATGAGACCAAGAAGATGGCGAAGCCACAACTCATTATCCTCCAACGCAAAAGCGGTTATGGTGTCCGGGCCGCCAAGGTGCACCAGAAGGAATGGTGCCCAAAATGCAAGAAGGTCCTCGTTTTCCACCGCTGCCCTCTCCTTTTTGCCGGTGCCGCCACCAGGGTTCCCTTGGCTATTTGAGATGAGCCCAACAGCAAAGTTAGCCGCCCAATCGGCAAGCAAGTAAGCAGACCATAATGGCATGATGATCCAGTTGCTTTTTGTTCGTTTTCTCAAAGGAGCAAAGAAAATTAAGAATGTCTGTAACGAAAGACTCAAGATGATGAAGCTTCGAAGATCCCATGTATCCCATAACTGTTTCCATTTTGGAGGGATCGGAATATCCACCATAATTCTCGTCATTTTGTATTTCAAAAGCTTTTGAAGAATATCTGTACAAGATTGAAACAAGCTACTACACTCAGTACTCATTGATTGACCAACAGAAAAGACCATCTTTTTAGCTGTAACTAATCTAAATGCTGACATATTCTAATTAAACATGATTGCTAACAATATCAGGTACTTCTAAATTCGAAAATGGGTACCAATTAATTGAGATTAACCAAAAATGAACATAAACTTGTATAAACAATCCACATTCCTGCAAATATGGATCAAGAATTCATGTTATAACCACTGATTTAACGAATCGCTAGAATCAAACCTTGAATGTAAGGATAGAATGCCAAGATCTCATAAATAAGTATATGAGCCTCTTTGATCAGCTTGCAACTTCTATAGACTGATCCGAAGTTTTGATTCAATCACTTCATATCCGTTAAGCTGAAACTGTAGCGGAAACATTCGAAGTTAAAAAAACGAGTTATAGAAGTGACCATAAGACGCAAATTAAATTGGTGCATGCAAGGTTCTTCTGCAAATGATAACAGATCAAATTGGTATTGAGACATATAACAATAACAACCGTCTTTTGAAGAGATCGTGAAAACCATATATGAGGGATGGGCAAAATTTCATCATCCGTCGTCTTAAGAACTAGTTGTGAAACTGTTACTGTCTAATTAACAAACCAGGTGATATATATTAATCTATGTATAGTAAAATTTAGTTGATCAGAAGGCTTTATTACAATATAAAATGAATTAAAAGAAACACATAAGGGGTATTTATGTAAAATGTAAGAAACAATCCCTAAAAGAAAGTGAAAAAAGTTTTAGTAAGTTATCAAGAGACGAGAGGTGGTTTCTCAACCCAAAAAAAAACTAGTTTATAAGCTAGTATGTCTTACTAGATAATCCTTTTAATTTTCAAAAAAAATTCTAAAATAAAAAATCAAAATCCAAAATTTCTAAAAAAAAGTCTCCAAACATTGATTATAATATTAAAATATTTAATTTATCTATTAATAAACTTATGTATTAATATATTGTTTATATCTTATTTGGTAATCATTTTTGGAGTGTTTTCCATATTTAGAGAAAACCATTTTTCTCTTTTATTTTCTCGATTTTGGAGATAGTTTTGAGGAGGCAAAACATTGGCTCAGAAGCTGTTGTAGATGCTCTTAAACATAACAGCAACAATAGATACGGTTACAACTATAATACACAAAATCTCAAAAAATGGAATGGAATGAAATAGAATGCATGAGTATGATGATGATGATGATAGGGTTAATAAAGTTGGATGTTTTGACAGAAAATTTCTGAAAATGGAAGGTTTCTGGAATTGGAAAGATAGAGAGAGTGTACTTTGATTATGCCTCCATTTGGTAACTTCAAAGTGGACAGAAAGAAACAGATGATAAAGATTTGCAGACACCAAATAAAGAAACCAACCAAGTTTGAAGTCAGCAAGAGATGTAAGCTTCAAACACTATATAAAGAAAAGGGTTTGTGGGACTTTGAAGCTCACATGAGACGAGATAGCTTGTAGACTACGTTAAGTAAAGAAGATTAGTTATTAAAGTTAAAAGTTATATAATATCTACTTATATCGTATCAACTCTCACGTGTGTGTATATATATATATATATTCTAAAGAAAAGAGAACGACTTAAGACCGGTCAAAAAAAAATATATGTATGTATATATGTGTGTGTGTTGGGAAGGTTTATTAATAAACTCTTTAATTTCGTGCAAATCATGTTTAACTGTTCATTTAGTGTAATGAGTATATTATATATATATATATATATATATTACTCGTGTGTGTGTGGAAGGTTTAATTAACAAACTCTTTTAATTTCACGCAAATCATATTTAACTGTTAATTTAGTGTATAATAAATATAAGATATATATATATATATATACATTATATCAACTCATGTGTGTGTATATATATATATGTGTGTGTGTGTATGTAGGGGGGTTTATTTAACAAACTCTTTAATTTCATGCAAATGATATTTAACTGTTCATTTAGGTGGCGTTTGGTTCGCAGAATGTTTTAGTGTGTAATAAATATTATATATATATATATATATATATAAAGGTTCAAACGAGAACACACTTATTTTATAAAAATACGAAAACATATTTAGGTCTTCAAATTAATTAATACATAATAAAAATTAGAATAAATGAAAATAAATTAATATTTATCCATTATATCTGATTAATTGTAACAAAAACAATATTTTATATAATTGTAACAAAAGCACTATTCTAATTTTAAATAAAATAATCTTTAATGATCTCATTATATTTTTAAATTTATTTATTTTTTAATTTTAATTAATTCATAACTTTTTATCAAGTTTCATATGATTTCTTTCAATATTTTCTAGACAAAACTTATGACAAGATTTTTTTTCACAATATTCATCAAACGTAAGATGTGATGCACACAATCAATTTTATTAGTTTTTTCCTCACCATTTTCTCTATTTTTTGGACTCCATGTTTTGAATCACATGTGATTAATTATGTTTAACATATAATCTATTATGTATCACATATGATCCATTATGTTAATTTTTGTACATGTCACATGTGATCTCTTATGCATGAATGTGAGTATATGTTACGTAATCACATGTGATAATATGTATGTGAGTATAAGTCACGTATTATCAAATGTGATAATATATGCATCACAATAAAATCTATAATGTAAATATACATAATCACATATGATTAAGAAATGTATCCAAGAATAATTATCACATATGATTGATATGATCATCGAACAAATTGTTAATGATTTATCTTTGTGATGAAATCGGTTTATTAGAAGTTGGTTTAGAAAGAAACCTAATCCCGATTTATTAGGGGGTTATTACCCTAGCTACAGATAATGATATCCTTTAATTTAATTTAATTTAATATGCCGCTGCAAGATGGATCTCCGTGAGGAGAAACCAATCTTGGTTAACAAGCCATGAAAGTGCTCTCGCGGAAGCGGTTTAGTGAGTGCATTTGTTAGTTGATCTGTAGAAGAGATACGCGTGATTCGTAAGATGCCTTCTTCAACTTGTTCGGGAAGGAAATGAAATTCAAGTGCAACATGTTCATTGCAAGAATGAAAGACTGGATTGAATCAAAGATTTGTTGCACCTACATTGCCACAGTAAATTACCAGTTGTTGTAAGGAGGCGTATCCAAGTTCGTTGAGAATATAAGTAATTGAATCGAGCTGAGTCATTCGAGCATACACTTTTTTCGAGCCAAACATATTTATATGTTTACAAATTATATAATTAAAATATAAAAATAATCGAGGTTGAGTAAATAAACAAGTTGAGTAAATACACTTCAATGTTTCATTTTCACATCAACTTTGTTTTCCTTTCACATTGTCAAACAACATTAAGTTTGTTTCATTTTAACGACATTGTATTATTTCATTACCTGAAATAAAACTTTGGTGCTTTCGATGATGTTTTAATTGTAATTCTTTTTTATATATTCTATATTTTGTTTTCCAATCTGATGTTTTTATTATTTAAAATAGTCAAATATATTTTATAAAAATGTATATTTTTCTCTATGTTACCACTAAATAATGTATATGCGAGAAAGTAAACGAGTGAAAATTAATTTAGCTGTACAGTATATTAATGAAATATAAAGGAGTATTATCAATTAATAGAAAATTAAAATATAGTATTATTACATATAAATTACATTGTATAAGATTGAATTAATAAAAAAAATTGATTCTAAATTTTGATATCTATAAAACAGAGAACTAGAAAATAATCAAGGAAAGAAAAAAATATCAATTACAAATGGAACATTAAGATTGTTAGATTAGAGTGATTAGATGATTGAGATTAGTTCTCAAGGTTCTTGATTTTTTTTGTGGTTCTCATTTGATTACTGCTATATATTTTTTTAATAATAGAAGAGATAATATATAAGTATTAATTTATGATTTATAAATTAATTTTAAATGAAACCCACTTGATTACAGAAAGGTAACTGATTTCAACAAAGAAATGTTGGGTCTCAAAATGCATCTCAATCTTCATGGTAAGAAACTCAGAGAAGATGACATGATTCATAACTTTATTTCCACATTTTCATATATCAATAAATATCAATGAACTAAGAAGATTCTTTCGAATAACAACACTAGACATGTTGGGGCAAAGAAAATTCCCAAGATCAATAATGAAAATGTTAGAGGTGGAAACAACTCCAAAGGATTGTGGGTTAAAACAATTTTACACATGTATCATGTGGACAAGACCATGGAAACATGGTCAGGGTCATAGCAAGAATAGAGAAGGATTTTTCAATCCTTGGAGCAGAGAATAAAAAAAGAAATGTATTAATAATCGACATTTTCGTTCTTTTATTGATTTATTTGTCGTTTACCCAATCAAAAACTACAAAGACTAAAACCATGAAATCATTTTTGATTTAATAAAAACAAAAGAAATCAATATTGTGACAAAATTACCCCTAATTTAACAGAATATTTTTACGGTCATTAAAGGAAATGACTAAATTCGGACATTTTTATAAACCACAAAAAGAAAATTACCATTTGTAGGGCCATATTGATCCTACACATTCTTTTTTTAAAGGGTGTATTAGGTTTTTCCTACACTAATTTTGATAAACTGTGACTGTAAAAAATAAACCCTGATAAATTCAGTGACCATAATTATTGAATACGGTTTGAATCGAATCCTGAACTGTTTCCCAAAGTATTCAAATTGTTAAAAAAATCATATTTGTTATGAAAAAGTTATTATATTTACTTCAAAATGGATAAAATAAAAGGATATGAGTAAATATATATATATATATATATATATATATATATATATACTTTGAGTTCTCCAAAAGAAAAGTATTTTCTTAAAGGTTTTAGAGGATGTTAAGGGAATGAAAAGGAAGTTACCATGTTACCCTTTTCCCATAATTTGGGATT